ACAAACACACCAATCACAATACATTAATAATGGTTACCTTGTGTCTTGAATAACAAGTTCCCCTTCACAACTCCTTTTTCACCACTATCTTTGTCAATATAATCTACATAATTATTTCACAATACTATATATTAATTTTACATTAAAATAAATAACTCTAATTTAAAGAGTTAGAAAGTCTTAGATCTATAATCCATATTAACACTAATTTAAGATTTATGCCTCATTTAACTTCCTAAATTTTTTTCTAAAATTCTCGTACCCTAATAAACTATTTTTTTATCCTCAAATCACTTGTCCTATCACAATTTCATCTTTTTATATTCTAAAAATTCGTCCAAAAATAAATTAAAAATTTTAGAATTATCTTGAAGCCTCAAATCACCTTTCTATAACCTCAAAAATACCTATTCATACTTAAATAAATATTTAATAATTATAGGTTTATCCCTACATCTCAGATTTCACATAAATTTAATCATATAGATCTAGATTTTAACTCAAAAATTCTTAAACATAAGTTTCAACCTCAAAAAATATTCTATAATATTTATTATATCTCTAAGAGTTTTAACTTATATTTTTAATACATCATATCATCAGATTAACTATCCTATAGAAAAATTCTAATCAGAATATTTACTCTATCCTACAAAATAATCATATCACTAGAAAGCTAATATTATTTAGAAAATAACTATAAAATTAATTTTGTAATTAAATAAATTTTTAAATGCTAATCTAAACAGAAAAGTTAGAACATACCTGAAGAAAAAGAAAATAATTTCCCCTTGTGAGAAAACGCCCAGCAACGTGAGAGGAAGAGAGAAAAATAATATAAAAATGAGATTGTGAGTCCCAAAATTATATTAAAAAAAACTATAAGTCTGAATTTAATTATTCAAACCTTTGGGCCATAAGTTACAATTTCCTCTAAATTGCATCTTCGCCTCTCATGCTTCCTAATGCACACACCCCCTCCTTTTTATACATGAAGGCACCTCTTCTCTTCCCTCATCTAACCAATGTGGGATTTAGAAACAACAACCTTCCACCCCCTTTTTTTTTGTTCCTTCTACCTTCTCTTTTTTTTAACACACACATAAAAAAATTATTTATGTATTATATCTTAACTAAATATTGCTTATGTGGTTTTAAATTTAAATTTTTAAATTTATAATTAAATACCTAACCATAATATTATTTCTAAATAACTTCAAATAATATAAATTCCTATTATTATCATTTTTTTTTCTCAAAACCTAAATTCCACAATTTCTTTATTCTATAAAAATCAGGATGTTACAATTAACATATAAGCAAAAATTGATCATTTTTCACTGACATAGACAAAAAATATTTCCAAGTGAATTTCTATGAAGGTTGATCAATGACATATCTCATCAAATCTCTTTTTTTTCACCGATGTATTCCACCCCCTTCCTCCCTTCCTCTCGAATCATTATTTTTGTCTACAAAACTTGAAATTTAACACAATAAGATAGGTTGTATACAATTAAAGATCGAGACTAAATACACCTCTTACATTGCCTACCTTAAAAATATTGTTACAACTTTAAGCAATTTTATTCATGATATATTCAAAATTCTCAAATAATTTTTGCCAGTACATCAAAGAAGTGAGCGATTTAACTTGATATTCAGGTAAAATAATATTTTCCCACATGATATTCATATAATGATTGATCAACCTCCATAAAATTTTACCTAGGAATATTTTTTGTTAACATCAATGAAAAAGTAGTTAACTTTTGTTCAAGTGTCAATTAAACAGTTAACATTTAAAGAATTTAATGGATTAGTTACTTTTGAATCAACTTTAGCAACATTATGGATATTTTTGCCCCCTTTTCTTCCTTTATACTACTAGATGCTTCTAATTAATGATTTTGTAGGTATTTGTATCTTTTTTTTAATCTATGTTAGCAAAGACTGACATGTAGCAAGTATCGTCAGCATTTAACACTAAAATTTAATGATGTTAAGGCAAAATTAACAGTTTCGTCACTTTTTGTGCCAACTTGGTAATGTTGTATGTATTTTTGCTCTTTTTTTTAGTTTAAGCTACTAGATATTTTTAACCAACCACTTGGTAGATATTTTTGTATCTTAACCCTAAATTAAATGGTATGAGTGAGTGAATTAAATGGAATATGGATAATGGGTAATTAGGATAATTAAGATTTATTTAAAATATTAGAATTATTCATTAATGATATTTGAATAAGAATTTTATCCATTAATATTAGAATCTATTATTTTATTTTGTCATTATCTTAGATTTGTTTGTGTTTAATAAAATATGATATCACCATCCTATTACTATACTTTTAAATTAGATTTAGGATATATATTTAGATTTACTACTTTAGTATTATTTATTACTTTTAGAACTCTACAAATAAAACTAGAATTTTTATTTTGTATTTAATTTTAATTATTATTAAATAGATTTTTTGAGAGTTTCAGCTTCTATCATCCTTGTTTCTCCACTCTCTCTTCCCTTTTTCCTCAAAACACTGTGTTTAGTTGAAGTAAATATGCACATCAAGCATACTTTTTAAGAACTAGATACCGAGATTATTTTTAATAAAACTAATGTAAAAAAATTAAATGATAATTTTACCCTTAAACTACACTCCTACCAACTATAATATAAATTATTTTCTAGAAGCTTTTCTTGATTTAAAATATAGGGCATTAGATAGGTGTTATATAATATTTTTTAAATTATATCTTTATTTTATTAAGTAATTAATGGGAGTGTTTTGAATAAATTCAATTCAGTGACGAATCTAGAAATCCTTACATAGGGGGTATGATTGAAATTCTATTTAAAAATAAGGGCTAAAAGTGATTTTAGCATTTGTCATCAACAAGAACTTACTTATATTTTTTTTTTAAAAAATTTGAAATATGGGGGACCACCACCCCTGTAAGCCCCCCTTAAATTCATTGTTGGCTAAAAATCATATTTAGGGTATGCAAGAGCATAATTGAAAAGATGTGAAAAATTTTATAAAATTAAGATTTTAACCAATTTTTTTTGAAAAATATAAATTAGTTAATAATGACTTATATTATGATTTAGAGGGAGGAGTTCAAAAGCATATAGAATCCTAAACTTATTTTTGATGTAATATTTATTTCTCTCCAACTTTTAAAAATGGTCAAATATTACTCCTATCATTAACAAATATTAACTTTGACAATTAATTGATAAGAAAATTACCAAAAAATTCCAAAATTACAGAAAAAGACAAAAAGACTTGAAAATGAGTAGCCTATAAGAAAATTAATAACGATATTTTCTACATTACAAACAAAAATCTCAAGTTCGCATGCTAAATTTTTTATTTGTTGTTACATTGTTGTAAATATAAAAAAGAAAAGTTGTGAATATTTAAATAAAACTTGTGAATCATTTATTTTCGATAAAAAAATTTAATAATTTATATAAATTCATTAATGATAGAAAAGTTTCTAGGGACTTTAGGGAAATTATAGCATTTTGAGAGATTAAATTATCATTTATATATTTCAGAGGGATTTTATTGCCATTTTTCCATAAAAATATAAACTTTAAAAAATATCTTTCATTTAATACTTCATTTGTAAAATAAATAATATTAAAGATATAGAATATATGAAAAGGAAAATATTGAAAAAACATAATTAATGAAACTTTATTTTTGTTAAAATATCTTATATTTTAATACATCAAATCTTCTCTAAAAGTATCTTATAAATTGAGATGGAGGGAGTACATTTTTTTTCCTTCAAATTTTATGCTTTGTTATTTATTGTCCTTTAAATTCTTAAATAAAAATTTATTATGGTTATTAATTACAAAGTAAGGTAAAGTTGAAAAGTTATCTATTTCTTTTAGTAATTTCAAAGATATAACTATTATTTCTTGATAAAAAAATTAATTAACTGTATCTTATATTAATGATAGAAAATAACACATTGTATCTTTGTCTTTGTTGTTTAATTTAGACCAAGTCTACTTTCCTTTATAATTAGCAATGGGGGAGATTTACTATTAATTTGTTTTGTGTTTGTTGCATGCAAATGTCCAGTCTCTGGAGAGATGTTTCTTTTTGATGAATCTCGAGATATGTTTCTAATCCTAACATCTCAAAAGATGCCAAAACTAATTTGGAATTATTTCTTCACGTAAACACTATGAGATGTCATGTCTTATTAGTTATTATATACTCCAACATTGATAATTATTTTATAGTTCTAAATAAAATTGGGTGAAAACTTAATATTTAAAAAATAATATTTTTTAATTATACTCACATTAATTATTGTATATAAGTGTTTTAATAATGACAATTAAAATTTTAATGTATACATTTTTTTAAAATAAGTAGTAAATAAAGTAGTGATATTGTTAAAATATAATTATAAAAATTAACTAATGCCATATATCTTGAACCAATTAGGGCTTATAAATGATATTTCATATTGTGGTCTAAGGAGTAATAGATAATATATGAGAATTTTATTGATTCAACAATGTTAAAGTTATATTATTGTATTAAAAAATTTGCTAAAGTTATTTTACATTTTTAGTTAAAAGCTTAGAGAGTAACATGAGACAGTGGCCAGTTCACTGACCTTATTCATATATTGGAAAATTTTGTATGGACTCAATGCAATGGATCATCCATAGTCTATCAAATAATAACATGTCATATTGCACCGGTACAATCAAATAAAATCATACAGATAAATATATTAATTATTTATTTTTAGAATAGAGTGTCCCTTCAATTTTTTGTCTTTTATTTTTCTATTATCATCAATGGACAGCATCAATTTATATTTACAACCATATGATATGTTTTTATTGGTGAGAGATAGCAGTTCATGCAAAAAATTTTCTTTCATATCTATATGTATGTGTGTTCTCGCAAGGGCATTAATCCTTATTATTTATTATGGCATATGCAATCGCCAATCCTCCATGAATGTCAAAATTTAGGGTGTCAGAGAGAGAGAATACTGATTCAAATGCATGAACATTACAATTCCGCAGAAATGAACGCTTGTGGACTGTGGCTGCAAAATGTAGAAGCATCTAACAATCAATCACTCATCTTTCAACTAAAAATAAAAATAAAAAAAAAAAACCGATGACTCGCCAAAAGAATGCCATACATAAGAGGCTGCAAAAGCCGATTCAAAGAAATGAGAGGTCGCAATTTCAAGGGAAATTTAACACTTGGGGAGATCCGATGGTGGCGGAAGCATTTTTTGATTGGGAAGCTTTCCGTCCAACACAATCCACGCCATTTTCAGTCCCCAGCTCGTGTGAATTTCCAGGTGACAATGCATGAACCATACCCCTGCACAAAATTCTTCTTCATTATTACCAAATCATGTGTCCAAAACAATGCTTGCAAACTAGCTGTGAACATTTAATCATTAACTTGTCTTATAGTGACTAATGTGAATTTACTTTTATGGTTATAGAAAAAAAATGGCTTGCTTAGTTTGCAACTTAGCATGATCTTGTGGAGTATTAGGAAACACAAATCTTACTAACCTGGGTTATCTGCTAAGAAACGAATTGCTACCCATCCACCAGGGGGGACGCCAACTGTGTTCCTTTCAATTGGATCATCAAGATTGAAATTTGCAGGGTCCTTATTTGGATCAAAGTTCCCAAAACCTTGGCCAACAACAAAGAAGTTAAAGCCATGCAAGTGGAGAGGATGACTTTCAGCGCCTAGTATACTGGTGTCCTGCATGATAAGCTCCACGCTAGTGTTAAAGGGAAGAACCACCATCTTTGTCCCATTGCTCACCATAGTGTTGTTTGGTGGCGTGCCGGTGTAGTTGAACGGAATCAAGGGGCTGCTTGGGAAATCAGGGGAGTAAACTCCATTGGATTGCCCAAAGTAGTGGGCTTGAAGAAGAGCAGTGGTTGGGAGTGTGAAGGACACATTATTGACTGAAGCTGCAAACATTGTTCCATTGGTGGGTCCCTGACATGTTTGATTGTGCGGACAGGGACTTGTACCAAGACCTACTGTGAAGAAAAAGCGCCTATCCACTTTCCGGGGAACATTGGCAGGAAACTGAGCATTTGCAAGGCTTCGGAATTTGTTGGCGAAATTCGTTGCAAAGGAAGTGTCATTAGGGCAGGGAGGATTGGTTTGAAGAGCGGAAGCTTCTTCAAATGAAGAGATTTTGATGGGGATTCATATTCCAGGATACCAGCAACAGTTGAGTTATCAAAAGTGCCAAGGCCAGTCACGTATGGTCTGGCAGTCATGAGGAATGTGGCTTTGGGGTAGTGGGATTTGGTTTTAAGAATAACATTGGTGGTTTGGCCGGGGGTAATCAGAATGGCGTTAGTCTCAAAAGGCTTAACATATACTGCATCTGCTTCGACAACTGTGAGGGAGTGATTCGCAATACTGAAGAAAAGCTCGTCATTAAGTGCTGCGTTGATCAAACGAAGAAGGTATGTTCTGCCAGGCTTCACCTTCAGCTTGAATGTATCTGCCAAAACAAAAAGTTAATGCAGAATCGAAACATTTCAACTGTGGTCTTGTTACTGTGCACCATCTTCGGAATTTGGCCAGCAGTAATATCAGGTATCATACAGGAAAACATCTGAGCTCTTGAGGTTGATAATGATACCTTTAGCAGAGCAGTTATATAATGGCCCTGGAAATCCATTGATAGTGTAAGCATCAGATACATTCGGTCCTCCACCTGTTTGTAGGGCTTGGGCTATGACTGCCTCAGGATCTGCATTCCACCATTCTCCTAAAAAATTTAATTTGTATATCAGATTAACTTACTGGACATGCATGTGATCAAAAATAAAATCAAATAGTCAGTAGAGGACACCACTATTTCATTACCAAAGATGATGGGAACTTCCTTGTAGGGTTTGTTGAAAGGATACGGAACACCATGCCTGGGAAGAATGATGATAGGACCATAGATAGTTGATCTTAACCATGAGATGTGAGCATGCCAAAAAAGAGTGCCTCTCTGTCCAATAATGGTGTAATTGTAACATAACTTTGTCCAGTTTGGATGGGACACTGTGTCACATATGCAGGCCCATCTGCCCATCCTGATCGAAGTTGTCGAATGCCATGCCTATTTTGAAAGAGAATCACAATTTTGACGCAGAATTACTTTGCTTTTGTTAATACCATTAAGAGAATCCTAGATAGACATAGTCTAAAAAAGCATAAACCAACCCAAATATGAAAAAGACATTTAAACAAACATGTAAGAGATAAGTCTTATTGAAACTGTGCATACTAGGTCAACCAAAGTGTTTTACGACGAAGTTTTTCAAACAAATATTTCCTACCAATGGATTGAGATGTTGTTCTGGACATGATTAACCACTTTGATGACAAGGCGATCACCCTCCCTCGCTACAATCCGAGGTCCTGGAAACTGACCATTGACCGTGACCATGCTCTTTTTTGGCATAGTCGTGTTACGTTTTGGTACTTGATCTACATCACAAAGCCAAGCCCAAAACAGAGAAGTAAGAATATGAAATGCTAAAGGTACAGTAACAAAACATAAGTTAGCTTCAAGATAAGAAGAAAATCAAGTCCTCATGAGGAGTACTTCGAAATGGTAGTGCCTTGTAATTTCCCCTTGTGCTACCGGGGGGAAAATAATCACTGAGAAAAGGAAGAGTGCATGAAATGCAAGTGATAAAAGAGGAAGAACACCCATTTGCTCTCTGATCTTAGAGAAGCGAATGATAGCTTTAAAAGAGTTGGAGAGCTAGTGTTCCTCTGTGTTTGAACCCTGGATGCAAAAGAGACCACGGGTTGGCAATAAATAGTGGAATGAGATCAGTTGTTTGAGTAGGTGATGCAATATTATCCATATGTTTCAAAGAGAAGCTATACTCCATTAAGAGCTGCAATTTGCTATTGCTGTATTTTAACGGAATGAGTTGTTTGAACAACTTTAGAGTGGTGTCCAAGACAATCAATTTCTTTCGACCTCCTTCCTGTTCAAGTGAAGCCCCCGTTCTTGGAAAACCCACGTTATTAGATGTCTTGTTATACTCTTTAGTGCATGCGTAGTGACAAAACTAAACTTGTTAATTTACTGTGAGATGTAAGGCAGACTAGGTTTACTGCATAGACCAAACTCACCTAAAAATTCGAGTGTGTTAATGATTAATTTAGTATATAGGCCAAACTTACCTAAGAATTCATGTCCATTGAAGATGTTAAATATCTTGAGCTTAACTTACCTGTGAACTCATGGAACTTATTTTTACTGCAGCTTGTTATCTGGGTTTAAACCCACAGGACATGAAACTTGAGAATCAGTAAGTGAAGCTTGAAAAGTTTTATCTCATTGGTCGGACGTAACTGTCTCAACCGAAGTTCTTGGTGGCGAAGTAACAGTGAAGGACGTGAAAGGGGGTTTCTGTGTCATCTCAATGTCAACAAGTCCTTTTTGGAGGTAGAAACGTCCCTCTGAAATATTTTTTATTATTATTATGATCAAGACGACACAGAACATGCATGAAGAGTAAGGAAACCTCAAGCAAACAGAGCAGAAACCAAACAAAAATTAAACAAATGTTATGGGGTTTTGAGGAAAGTGATAGTACCCATTTTATTTTTGGGATTTACAATACTCTGAATTTCTCCGTCTAAATTTCCATGAATATGAGCTAAAAAGAGCCATTGATTAAATCAACTTTCTTGATGCTGGCACTTTACAAATGAAACGTTGTTTCCTCTGCCCTCATTACCCGAACCAACCAAGACCGACATTCGATCCCTTAAAAATCATGGCTGAGGAGAACTGAAGCGGCAACATCATGAAAATTGATTTAATCAATGGTTTACATTAGTTCAAAACTCATGAAAATTCACACAGACACACACAGAGAGAGAGAGAGAGAGAGATGCAGAGGATTTAGGTCCTGTCTTATATTTGCATATTTTTCTGTCCTCCATCACAGTCTGGGAATGGCTGGCTGTTAGTTGGCTGCCTTAAAATAAACACACTTTTCACCAACATCTTGTAAAAGCTGTAAGGCTTTAATATATATATATAATGCTTCGACCAAAAATTAATCAAACTCTTAGTTGGTGCAGGTCGTCCCTGAAGTTACTACCAAGGGCCCCTCTAACGTCAAAATTTCCCGTGAAAAAGGAATGAATTAATTAAATTAAGTCCTAATTAACTCGAAAAATTAAATCTCACGCTGACCCTCTGATCTTTGCTAGGCGTTTACTATCAACAAAACTTTCTGCAGATAAATAACTTTTGAGTCGACTCCACCAACCATAACATGTTATCTTAATTCTTTTTCTAGAGAGGAGTTTGGTCATGCGTGGTACTGCTATAAGTGGACCTAATAAATATAATCTCTGCCACCTTTATACCGTAACATATATGTGCCTTTTCTTCTCACCTAATTCTTCCAAAAATGCTAACAAAAATTAGTACATTTCATAAAAGTGAGTCGCGTAAGCACAAAAAGCCTTCGGATTCAATTATTTCTTTCTTTTTTTTGACTGTTCTATGTGTCCCTTTTCATAACATCTTTTTCCTTCATTTCCTCTTCTATTAAAAATATCTAAGGATCATGCATGATATTTGTAGACAAGGGATAAACTAACTAAATTGGGTTACTGCAACTCACATCCTCTTTTCTTTTGGATGATATGTCTTTCTAATGCATGTTCAGATGGTTTTAAAAAATTGTGATATATATATATATATATGGAAATTTAGAATTTCTTTCAATTTTTTCTTAAAAATAAAACAGAATACACCACTAAAATTGGTTTTCAATTGTAAATTTAAAATGGTGATAGACAACAAAACATGAAACTTAATGCGAACGCTTCATATGACTAATTACTGTGTTGTTAGAGGGAAGGGATATGGACCAAACTGATAAACCAACAGCATTTGAGCAGGGACCAATGCATGGAGCACCGTGTTCTTCCTTTTAATGAATATAAAGTTGGCCTTTAAAACTTTCGTTTTGGCCTCATAATTAATTGAAGAATAAAATTTACCTACCGAGAAATATTCTTGGATGCGACAGTCCGGTAACAGAAAGAGAACATATAGACTAGAGAAGTGGAAAGACACGTATTAACTCAAAACTTTAAGTCTTGGGTTTATGAGTCTTTTTCTTTTATTATATATTAATTATTAAATTTAATTTTATTTAGTGTGAGATTGCCCACATCGGCTCAAATAGCTTCTCAAATTTGAACATCTTGACAGAACTTAATAAAATTAAGTAAAGCTTATATCCTCATTAGTAATAATACAATTTATATTATATAAGAACATAAGTTTGAATCCTTTTGATAAACTAAGAATTCATTGATAGATATAATTTATAAGTATCTCTATGAGCTTTTTAAGTTTAAAAGTGTACCTAAGTTTTGGTGAGCCATGAGTCTCAGCATTCAACTTACTTAGAATTCATTAAAAAAAGTCAAAACTTATAAATCTTAAATAAAATTTTGTAAATTCAAAATAATATAATGTTAAATTTTTATTTATATATATTTCAAACATGCGTGGATTATGCCATGATGGCAAGCCATCCAGTTCCTTGACATTATTTTTATTCTCTTATGCCAAATTAAGAGCTTGTTTGGTTTCTATTTTCATTTTTTCTTTTTAAAAACTGTTTTGTAATATAATTTTTAGAATTATTTTTTTAAAAAAATAAAAATTTATTTGGCTTTGTTAATTTAAAAACAATTTTAGAGTGAAAAAATAGATTGATAGTAATAGTTATGAACAGTTAATGGTGATAATTTATGATAAAAATTGATCAAGATAACTGTACTTTTTAATAATCAAATATAGTATATTTTAAAAATAAAAAATAAAATAAAAATAATTTGAAGTTATTTCTATTAAAAAATAATTAAATAAAAAACACTTGTTCAAATAGACTTTAAAATTTTTCTGTTTTCAAAAACAAAGAATAGTTATTTCCACCTTTATTTGATTGATGTCAAGGCTTCTTTAATTTCTACCTAAGTTTTTTCTTTATTTTTTTTCCCTTTTTGAACATGTCATAATGGCTAAGAATAAATCCCAGGCGGTTTAAAATTTCATTATGCAATAAGTTGCTTCAAAAACTCCAAATTGAAGATGCCAAAGAAGAAATGCAGTGCTTAATGTATCTAATCACCATTGCTTAAAAGTTACAAGTAACTAATGAAGTTTGAATTTCATGTACTTGCGTATCTATTGCTGCTCACTGGCTTTATATGCCTTACAAAAACTCAAAGATCTTCTTTACTTCAAAGGCCTACGTACAATGCAAGCATCAAAATTTCCACAAATATATTGCTAATGTCATCATGAGAACAAAAAAGCTTGACATTATATATCTTTATATGACTCCTGCATTGATTACAACTCTTTCAAAACAACAAGGGATGGTTCAACTTACATATTCTATCTTGTCTCGCAAAACTGCCAATGTCATGGGACAAAGCTTTGTCATCATCAGTGAAGAAATAGCCATGACAAAAACATAGTACCTTATCTACCTCACACACACACACTCACATGTATTCTCTTCCTTATAAAGAAAATATACTAAATGTGACAAAAATATGTAGTATTATTGTGCATTTTTGATATAAATTGTCATGTGACTCTAAAACTATTGGTGTTTCTCATACCTTTCTAGGCAACCCAAAATTTTGATAACACCTAATTTCACCTCCAAACCCAGCTGTTACAATCACCAACCCCCATGCTGAAGCATGAGAGCTTGAGCTATTGGCATGACCATTATCAAAGTACATTGACCAAGAAGAAGAAGATGATGATGATCTAGCAGAAGCAGACATGGTAGGTGAGTCGCCATACCTCATGGAAGCAGAGTCAGAAGAAGAAAACGAATCCCCAATTCCAGAACCAGTGCGAGAGATCGCTGTAGGTTCTTCCTCTTCCACAACGACATGGTGACCATTACTACTACTACTACTCTTATTCCTAGAAAATGGAGACCACCTACTCTTACTCCCACTATGAGCAAACGAAATAGCTCCAATCCCAGACATTGTACCTGAAATCCCTGAGGGCTCGTCATCCCAGGAAGGAGAAGCGTTATCAGAGGCCTGGTTTTGGTTGTTTCTCTTGATCTTATTGGGAAGAGGAGGCAAAAGTGTTGGCTTAGAAGAAGGATGAAGTGGAGATCCACAGGAAGAAGATGGAGGAGCTGGATAGTGTTTAGGGTGTCTTTTTGAATGGAGGGATGGTCCTATGGGAGGGTCACCCTTGATAGTGCGAGGCCATGGGATTGCTATGGAGACGTCTCTGCATTGGAATTGCTCGTGGGATTGAGTCAGAATTAGGTTTCTGGCTTTTGCATGGCCTTCATTCTTCCACACATATACTTGTGAATCTTCACTTGCACTTATCACGTATCTTCCATTTGGACTAAATGAAGCTGATATTTGGCTATTTGCATTTCGAAATCCTGTTGTTCATCAGCAACATCCAAATCAAACACATTATAGGTTATCAGTTAAGATCTCTAGGAGATATTTTTCATCTGAATTTTAAAGAGAAATTTACTCTTCAAGTTTGTTTGTTATCGACATGAATCACTATTATTGAGATGATAACTTCACTTTTCAAAAGTAATCTTAATCTTAATTTTAGCAATTCTATAATTAAGAAGGTACTTTCTCCTTTAAAAAAATATAAGACATGTTTTATAGTTAAGATGTTAAAAAATATAATATATTTTAGGTCTTTAAGGAAGACTTAATGA